TCTTCCATACAGCATGATATTCATTTAGTAAATTATGGTCCCATTCAGAGTAAAATAGGCGATAAAGCAGGGTATGCTTTAGGGCCTTGCGACTTGCGATTGACAAGTTGCTATCACGGCGTGTCCCTTGGTTCTCAGTCAGATCAGGATAAAGACGCAGCAATGCACATCCTCCTCAGCTCCACATTCTGCCCCCAACGATTAACTCGTCGATAAACTGCTCAAAAAGGTTTATCTGTTGTCCAAGCTGACATCCTGAAATGTCTTGTTTTGTCCACAACCCAAAGATATATTCAGTTTACTGTCACAGAGGACCAAAGACACCAGAGAATATTCACAATTATTCTTAAAAAATTACTCAAAACGATTAATTGATCTTGGAAAAGTTGCAGATTAATTTGATATTAGACAACTCATCGATCAATCAACCAACTGTTGCAGTTCTAGTCACTTCTGAATAAAAGAACTGACTGCCATAACGCCACACTAGAGGATTTAAACCACAAACCAATGGGTGACTCCATGCTGCTTCCATCCACTGCAGCCCTTTACAGATTTAAATAGATACAGACTTCTGTGGAAGGCAATAGTCTACCAATATAATAATAGAATATTAATCAAAGATAAGACCACTATTCTAAAATGGTTTAAAAGTTATATCTTTTACGCACATAAAATATTTATTTGTGCAGCAGAATAAAATATATACAACCAGAATATATACACTGAATGAAAATCGGCCAAAAAAAATGCTCTTCACAAGGTATTTAATAACTCATCTGTATATCATACAGAATATTTATTGTATGTCCTCAAAATACACAGGAAACCATAAGACAGAACGGAGGGTAAGAAAACCCCTTTAAGGTCATTTGGAAAGGACCACCACGGTTCACCATCCTGATACAAATCAAACAAAGGCCCTTTGAAAATGAATGCTGAGCTTTGATTTAACAACTTAAATTCCCACAAAATAAATAAAATAACTTTTTTTTTTCTTTTTTCTAACACCCGTAACAGTACCGGTCAGCCAAAATTCCTATTGGCTTTGTTTTTTGTGTTAAATTTACTCAAAAACATTTCACACATTTCAGAATTGCAGAACACAGTCTCCTTCCTCCTTCCGGACATTGTAAAGGGAGTTGGTTGTCCCCCTCCTACAAATCCATGTCCCCGATGGCAAAGACACAACGCCGTCCTTATCATATTCTGTAGACTAACATTTGTAGTATCCTAAACCAGCTGAATCTATTAACTATGCTTTTGGCATGTTCCGTTGGCCCTGTAGCAGACAATGAGCAGACACAACAAAGCTTTCATTACGTCGTAGCCAATGAGCATGCTGGCAGGACCTGCTGCGGCACATTATTCCTGGAATTGATAAAAAAAAAAAATGTATTTTTTGATTGTATCATTAGAACTTACTGATTTGTGCTCAGCTCACTCCAGCAGTCGCCTATGTCTTACTTTATACAGTGTCAAAATATGGGAATAAAAAACTGCCAAATGATGCTTCACCTATCTGTGTGTGCGCAGGGTCATTTAAAGTTTTAATGCATGTGGAATACAGATGTAAGCATCAGCCTAATGAGTTTGCAAGTCATGTTAAAGCCGCAGTATGTAATGTTTTGAAAAACGTTGTCATAAACGTGTCATATTTGCTAAAACTTTCACTATACCCTGACAGTACTACATGAACTGGCTCCTCCTAGTGATTATCTGTCTCATGTACTACTGTCAGGATATGATGAAAGTTTCAGTAAATATAACAAAAAGTTATTTTTATAAAAGTTACCTACTGTAGCTTTTAACATGAGCTTTCTTTAAGAGGACACAAGCAAAATGTGGGGATTTAAAGCCACTATATGTAGAATTTTTATGTTGTGATACTCAAATGTTTTAATTTTTTGCAAAAGAGGATATTTCTAGTTTGTTTTTTAAAATTGTTACAGTTGGTCAGATTCATGAGGTGGAGTAAGGAAGATAATGACTTTCTTTGCAGTCTTCCCTACTGTTTGTCTTTATTTCACCACTGGGGGCAGCAAAACTGAATATTTAAAAATTCTACACATATGGGCTTTAAGTAGTCACTGGAATTGCTATTTGTAGCTCAAACAGATGCTGCACACTGAAGGCCTCATTAGGCTTCTAACAACATGCCTTTTGGATTGTCTAAGAGCATCTAAAACAACATTTCAGACAATCCGACAATCACAGACACTTTACGTATTTAAAGATTGGCCAGGTGTGTGAAGGTGTGAAAGTGAACAGCAGGGTTTGTGTACAACTGAGTCAGGGTCCAAAATTAACACTAACCAAGTGCAATTTTGGGTTTGGCCGAAAAATAAATTGGGCTCAGTGGCTGATAAATAATTTGTAATCACAGAGTTCACATCACCGTGCTGAGACTAATGCAACCCTCACTGTCCACTATGTTCTTGCATAATATGCGTTACATATTCTTAGAGATGTGGCGACACATTCCCACTGATAAGCCACAAAAAAGAAAACATGAAGACAAAGA